TGTGTGTGTGTGTGTGTGTGTGTGTGTGTGAGAGTGAGTGTGTGAGAGTGAGTGTGTGTGTGTGAGACACTGAGTGTGTGTGTGTGTGAGAGAGTGTGTGTGTGTGTGTGTTTGTGTTTGTGTGTGTGTGTGTGTGAGTGAGTGAATGTGCATGTTATGCATGCCTGAATGTGTGCAAGTTGGACCGACTAAGTGTGTGAGAGTGCGTGAACGAGTGAGATGGAGTGCAGGCTGGATAGCCTCAAGTTTATGGAGACTGGAAAGTTGGTGATCAGCTAGGAGGGCATTTGAATAAACTGGACAGACTCAGCAAGTGTGGCTTCATCTGTTGAGAGAGAAACAGAGGTTCTGAAAAAGAATCAAAACCAGACTGGAAACGTTAATTCTGTTTCTCTACCCACAGATGCTGCCAGACCTGCTGGGTTTCGCCAGCATTCACTGTGTTTGTTTCAGATTTCTAGCATCAGCAGGATTCTGCCCACAACAACACCTCTACTTCCTCAGGAGGCTAAGAAAATTCAGCATGTCCATAAAGACTCTTACAAATTTCTAGTGATGCACCGTAGAAAGTATCCTATTTGAATGCATCACACCGTGATATGGCAAATGCTGTGCCCAAGACTACAAGAAACTACAGAGAGTTGTGAACACAGCCCAGTCCAGCACACAAACCAGCCTTCCTTCCATTGACTCCATCTATACTTCCCACTGCCTCTGGAAAGCAGCCAACACAATCTAAGACCCCTCCCTTACCGGTTATACTCTCTTCCACCTTCTTCTGTCAGGCAGAAGATATAAAAATTTGAATACATGTACGAACAGATTCAAGAACAGCTTCTTCCCCGCTGTTATCAGACTTTTGAATGGACCTCTTTAATGTTAATGTTGATCTCCCTCTGCACCTTCTCGGGCAGCTGTAATACTGTATCGTGCACTCTGTTCTGTTACTCTGATACACTTGTACAGTACTGTCTGCCTGTAAAGCACACAAGACAACATTTTTCACTGTACCTCAGTACAGGTGACAATAATAAACCAAATCAAATCATTTGAATGGTTGAGTGGAGAGGTAACTAAGGACTGAAGGAGGGTATCAGGAACAGATAGACACTCGGAAAGTCACCAGCCTCACAGCAGTACCTTTCAGATCACAACAACGCAGTGTGTTAAAAATAACTCAACCTCATCTCTCCTCTGGCCCTTTCGCCAATTATTTCAGATCTGTTTTCTACGGTTACTCCACCTGCTGCCTGTGGAAACACCCCCTCCCTCTCTCCCCATCCCTGATTGTAATTCTGAACGCCTCTAATCAAACTACAGGCAGCAGTGTCTGGGTTAGCCCTGGGTTGCTGTTGTTTCTGTGCTGGTTTGATTGCATGGGACGAGTTGTGAATTCAAACAGATCGTGGGGCTCCAAGTCTCCGACCTGTGCAAGTCCTCAATTGAAACACAGCTCCATCCATCACCCAGCCCCGCACTGACACTTCTGTCCCATCAGAAATGTGATTACACTGTTCCTGCAACATAATTACTCCTGGGCTCTGTAGCTGTGATTTGAATGAAGGATAATTCCAAAGCTGCTGTTTAACACCCATGTCCATTACGGCTGTTCACTGCCACTGAGAAGCCTCAGGATATTGGGAGATTCCTGTTATTCCCAGCCTGTAAGCAGCGAAACTCACGGAATTGTCACAGTCCAGCAGGAGGCCATTCAGCCCGCTGTTCCCACGCCAGCTCTCTGCAAACTCCGTCTCACTCCTGTGCCCTTTTCCCCCATAGGCCATGCACCTCTTTACTCTGCAGATAATTATCCAATTCTTTTACTAAAGTCACCATTGAATCTGCCTTCACTGCTCTCCAGGGGATTCCAGATCCACGCCAGTCAAAAAAATGAGGCAATTTCTCATTTTCACTTTGACTCTTTCAGGCATCACCCTAACAAACGCCTGTTCTCAACCCCTGCTCCTATCTCTCCAGCGAAGGCCCCTCTCGATATCAATCTTGTCCATCTCCTCTACAACTTCTTTCATAGAATCCCCACAGTGTGGAATCATTGAATCCACACTGACCCTCTGAAAAGCATTCCGCGCACCACCCCCACCAACCCCACCACCCCCCCCCCCCCCCACCCCCCCCGCTCCCCCCCCACCCCCTCCCCCCCCACCAACTCCCAGTTACCTTGCAATTCCCATGGCTAATTCACCTAGCCTGCACGTCCCTGGGCACTACAGGGAATTTAGCATGGCCAATCCACTTAACCTGCACATCTTTGGACAGTGGGAAGAAACCGGAGCACCCGGAGGAAACCCACACAGACACAGGGAAATGTGCAAACTCCACACAGACAAACGCCCGAGGGTGGAATCGAATCCGGGTCCCTGGCACTAATCACTAAGCCACCGTGTTGCTCCCTCCAAAGGGTACCTGGGGAAGCATTCCCTGCATCTCCTTATGTCCCAGTAATGGAAGTTCCTCATCCCTAGAAGCATGCTAATCAATATTTTTTATGTCCTTTCTAAAAGTCAGGAATCCACAATTGGGCACCATACTCTACAGCATTTCAGAAGGAAGCCTTCCTGTGGTGGTAATATCACTGGATTAATAATCCAAACCCCAGGCTAACATTCTGGAGGCACTGGTTCAAATCCCACCATGGACAGCTGCTGAAATTTGAAGACAATATAAAATCAGGAATTTATTTTTGTTTAAAAGACTAGCCATTGGCATCCATACTTGTTACAAGCCCATCTAGTTCACTACAGCCCTTTAGAGTAGGAAATCTGCCAACCTTACCTGCTCTGGTCTCCATGTGACTCCAGACCAAAGCAGTATAGGCGACTCTCAACTGCCCTCCGGGCAATATACGCTGGCCTGGCTAGTGACAAGAATTTAAGAAAACAAGTCATGGAGTCATACAGCACAGAAACAGACCCTTCGGTCCAACCAGTCCATGCCGACCATAATCCCAAACTAAACCAGTCCCACCTGCCTGCGTTTGGCCCATATCCCCCCCAAACATATTCATGTACCTATCCAAATGTCTTTTAAACATTGTAACTGTACCCACATCCACCACTTCTTCTGTCAGTTCATTCCACACATGAACCCCTCTGTGTAAAAAAATTGCCCCTCACATCTTTTTTAAAATATTTCTCCTCTCACCTTAAAAATATGTCCCCTAGTCTTGAAATCCCCACCTTGGGGAAAGACAGCTGCCACACACTGTATCTATATACCTCATGATTTTATAAATTTCTATAAGATCACCCCTCAACTTACTATGTTTCAGTGTAAAAAGCCCCAGCCTCTCCTTATAATTCAAACCCTCCATTCCCAGCAACATTCTGGTAAATCTCTTCAGAAACCTTCCCAGCTTAATAATATCCTTCCCTATGACAGGGCGACCAGAACTGGACACAGTATTCCAGAAGAGGCCTCACCAATGTCCTGTACAACCTCAACATGACGTCCCAACTCCTATACTCTAAAGGTCTACAGTATGTGTGAATGCCCTTAGGGAAAACTGTGTTGTGTAATAAATGCTACCTTGACCACAGATGTATAACTGATGTTTCACTCAATGTTTGTGGTCAGGGGCTGAGTAACAATTTAACAGCCTTGAACCAGTGCCTTCAGGAGAGATGGGGAGAAGGACCCTCAGGCCCAGCCAGAGTCAGCCCCTCATAGGGAGAAAAATTGCAGGGGGACAGCTTTCCAATGATAAAAATGACTCCTTACCATATCGAATGACTGTGACAGAAATCCAGTGCAGATAGAATTTGTCGGAAGAATTTGCGAGCTTCTTTTGGTGTCAATCTCCCCTTCTTGACAAGGTAATCAAACAGTTCCCCTCCGGACACATGTTCTAACACTAAGTACCTGAAAGTAGGAAGGAAAATTCAATGAAACTGAAAACAGGGCTCGACACTTTGCAAAGTTAGTCACCTCAAATGCTTCTTACTAACTGAGGATTGAACTCCAGATCGATTCCTTGCACCAGTGGCCCTTAAACGACAGACTCTTCATTTAGGACCCATGTAGGCCTTTGCCTCGGTGTCGGTGGCCCTTAGCAATATACTCAAAGGCCTCTCTCCAGATTCCTGTATCAGTGGGTCTTAGTATTTAAACACACTAGGCCTCTGGCTCCATTGCCCCTACAACTGTTAGCAACACACTGTGACGCCTATCTGTCCATGGCCTGGTAATGACGGCCCCTAGCAACGTAAGCATTGACAAGCCTGTCACCAGGCCCCTGCACCAAAGGGGGAAAAAAAGAGCAAAAAAAAAGTAGAAGTTGGAAATGAAGGTATTGGTCTGAATTCTTTTACTGGTTTCTCCTGGAAAATTGTGCAAATCCATTCTTTTTTGCCTTTTAACTGCCCTCCTCTCTTAACGGTGCTGGCTTTTGCTGAGGGGCTACAGCCGTGGTGTCAATCTGCCTCCCAGTCAATTGGACATCCTCCGCATATGAGCCCATGTGACCATAGAGGGGATCATAGCTTAAGCCTGAGCTTTCATCTCCATTGAATTTTCACTTCTGACCTCAGAGACATTGTCTATAGCTTCTTGACATTCCTCTGAGTTGAATCCAGTTATACCAAGGATGTGCTGAGACACATGAGGACATCTGGGCAGGCCATTGCGGTACACAGCAGTGAATAGCCAGTGACCCTTAACAGAAGAGGCCATTGCTTTCGGGAGTCTGGCAGTGGGTTTGGACTGCAGCCTATCACAGATAGCGATCTGAAGCCACAACATTCATGTTTCAGGTGATTTATATTTCTGCTGGGAACATTAACTCGCTGCGAAAAGTTCACCCAAAATTGGAAACTTAACGCAATGAACCTTTTTAGTTTGATGTCAAGTCCACCAGCCCACAATCCACTCCTTTGCTCCTGCAAGGGTGGCAGGGAAGGAGTGAGAGAGAGAAAGAAAGGCATAAGTGAGAGAGACGAGAAAATGGAAGACAGAGAGAAAGAAAGGCATAAGAGAGAGAGAAGAGAGAATGGAAGACAGAGAGAAAGAAAGGCATAAGAGAGAGAGACGAGAGAATGGAAGACAGAGAGAAAGAAAGGCATAAGAGAGAGCGAAGAGAGAATGGAAGACAGAGAGAACGAAAGGCATAAGAGAGAGAGAAGAGAGAATGGAAGACAGACAGAAAGAAAGGCATAAGAGAGAGCAAAGAGAGAATGGAAGACAGAGAGAAAGAAAGGCATAAGTGAGAGAGAAGAGAGAATGGAAGACAGAGAGAAGGTGAAGGAAAGATACAGGAAGGTATGGGTGGAGAGTGAGAGAGAGAGGAAGCGTGTGAGGGAAAAAAGGAATGGACAGAGAAAGGGAGGACTGCTCGAGGGATGGAAGGAGGGAGGATAACAGAAGTAGGGATGGATAAAGGGAAGGAGGGAAGTACAGAGGAGAAGGGTGGGACAGAGGGATGCAGAGAAGAACAGTGGGAAGAAAGAAAGGATAGTGGAAAAAAGGAAGAAGGTAACAGGAAGAAAATACCCTCTTAAAAGTTAGAGCTGATACTTTGACATAGATGAATCAACTCCAGACACAAAATCCTGAAAGAAACAAACAGAACGCGAGGCAGGAAAACGTGCAGAGTCCCAAGAACATTCAACGTTACTGTCAATAAAAGTTAAATGTTTTAATTAAACTGGAAGAGGTGAGGTTGAAGCAGCTTTACAGGCTCTCTCATTGATCTAGTATTTAAATGCAGCCTGGGCTATTTGGATGGAATTTCAGCTCCCCGACTCACGGTGAATTGGGTTTGGGGGCAATTTCAATCGAATACCCACTGCGCAATGGACTAGCATAGAGGAATATTTTGTGTCAAACTCTCCTGTACCTGCCAACTGAAGAGACAGAAAGTCAACTGTATTCGTCTGATGCTTTCCACAACCTCAGGGCATGAGAGGCAGCCAAGTGCTCTGGAAGTGGGACAGACTCTGATAGGTCAAGCAGGACACATTACCGCGAATCTGTACACAGCAAGCTCCCACAAACCTTAGTGGCGATAATTTGTCCTGAATGAGAGTGACTGAGGGACTCATAGTGCCCACAGCACCAGGCTGAACACCTCCTCCCCACTCTCCATAAGACCAAGCAGTAACTGAGAGATGGTAGTGCAATGGTAAGGTCACTGGCCTTATAATCAAGCCGGAGAGGGTGATAGCCTAGTGGTATTATAACTGAACTGTTAATCCAGAGACCCAAGTAATGTTCTGGGCACCTGGGTTTGAATTATGGCAAATGGTGGCATTTGAATTCAATTTTTTTTAAAAATCTGGAATTAAGAATCTGATGACGACCTTGAATCCATTGTTGATTCTTGGGAAAAATCCATCTGGTGCATAAAATGTTCTTGAGGGAGAGGAAGTGCCATCCTTACCTGGTCTGGCCTACATGTGACTCCAGACCCACACCAATGTGGTTGACTTTTAACTGCCCTCTGGGTAATAAATGCTGGCCTAACTGGTGATGCCCACATCCCATGACTAGATAATAAGAGAAGCTTTGGCTCACGTTCCAGGTATTTGAGTTCGAATCGCACCAGGATGGCTAGGGCATTTATACTGACCCAGAAGAACATGTTGAAAACTAGCAAATGAGACATACTGGTCAGTTCTGCATTGTGTACTTAAAAAATGGAGCTCCAGTATGTTCACTTGAAGTATCATCGAGTTTGTCCCTCAGAAATAAAATAGTCTCATCAATAATAATTAAAACTTCCAGATTGTTCTATCTGGTTCATGAGTGCCCTTCAGGGGAGGAAATCTGTCACCCAAAACAGTGTACGAAAATGAACATATTTACAGGTTCCTAAGGGCCTCAGTTTAACATCACATTGAAAGGCTGTGCCTCTGACAGTGTGGCACACCCTCAGTATCACAAATGTCTCCAGAGCGGGACTGGAACCCACAATCTCCTGACTCCAAGCCACTGAGCATCTTTTACACCACTCCCTGGATTTAACACAGAGCGAAACCAACTTTATTTTCTAAATCGTTCGGAGGTACACTCTAATGGTCTCGGAGGGCGACCGAGCATGTGCACACCCTGTAAAACAAGCCAAAAATATAATACCTACAAATATTTCTTATTTTCGTATACGTCATGGAGCTTCAGAACATGAGGGTGCTCGATCAGCTTCAGAATGGCAATCTCCCGCTCCACCTGTAGGGAGGAAAAGACCCATTATACCCAATCCTGGCAGCAGGAGGCAGCATCAGTGCCAAGTGTCAGCAAAGAAATAGTCACAGGAGACTCCACGCAAGACTTCAGACCTGTTCCCCCTTTCAATTACATCCAGGACAATTTATGGCTCAAATTCATCTGATCTTGAGATTGCACTCAGAGAACTGAGTGCAGTTTTCACCTCCGTATCTAGAGAGGAATGTTCTTCTTTTGGAGACACAGTAAGGTGAAGATTCACCGGATTGTTCCCAGGGGTGTTCCCAGGGAATGATGGGGTGGTCTGATGACAAAAGGCTGAACAAATTGGGTTTATACTCTCAGGAATGTGAGAGCTGATCTCATTGAAACGTGGACATTTCCAGAGGGCTTCAACAGAATAGACACAGAAACAAACACAGATAACCACAAGACCATAAAAATGATATAGAGGGAGGCCATTTGGCCCATCTTATCCGTGCCGATCCAAAGACAGCCAGATGCCCTTTCTAATCCCATCTTCCTGCACGTGGCCCATAGCCCTGCAGCTTACAGCACGCAAGGTGCAGATCCAGGTAATTTTTAAAAGAGTTTATGTCTCTGTCTCCACCACCAACTCAGGCAGCAAATTCCAAGCACCCACCACTCTCTGTGTAAAACAAGTTTTTCCTCAAATCCCCCTTAACCCTTCTGCCACTTAGTTTGAATCTATAAGCCCTGAAAGGCTGCAGAAACTTAGCAAGTGTTCTGAAGAGGTCATACCGAACTTGAAACGTAACAGTGGCTACAGAGCTTCTGAGTTTCTCCAGCAATTTCTGGTTTTCTTTCAGAATTTCCAGCATCCACAGCCTTTATCTGAGTGCAGACGCAGAGATTGTTTCCCCAGGTTGGGGAATATACAGATGGGGCACAATTCCCATGAGGGGAGATGATGGCACAATGGCTAGTTATCCAGACGCTCAGGTTAATGTTCTTGGGAATGTGCGTTCGAATCTCACCAGGACAGCTGGTAGAATTTAAAGTCAATTGATAAAAAGTCAGGGTTTAAAGCTAAGGCTGTTGTGGAGCTTGAAAGGGTTCAGAAAAGATTTACAAGGATGTTGCCAGGATCAGAGGGTTTGAGATATAGGGAGAGGCTGAATAGGCTGGGACTGTTCTACCTTAGAGTGTTGGAGGATGAGAGGTGATCTTAAAGAGGTTTATAACATCATGAGGGGCACGGATAGAGTGAATAGCCAAGGTCTTTTCCCCAGGGCACAGGAGTTTAAAACTAGAGGGTGTAGGTTTAAGGTGAGAGAGGAAAGATTTAAAAGGGACCTAAGGGGCAACTTTTTCACACAGAGGGTGGTGCGTGTATGGAATGAGCTGCCAAAGGAAGTAGTGGAAACTGGTACAATTACAACATTTAAAAGGCATCTGGATGGGTAAATGAGTAGGAAGGTTTTAGAGGGATATGGGCCAAATGGGACCTGATTAATTCAGGATATCTGGCCGGCATGGACGAGTTGGACCGAAGGGTCTGTTTCTGTACTGTATATCTCTACGACTCTATGACTCCAATCCCGGTAATAGTGACCATGAAATTACCACTGATTGTCGTAAAAAAACCAGTTGGTTTACTGATGTCCTTTAGGGAAGGAAATCTGCCATCCTTACCTGGTCTGGCCTACATGTGACTCCAGACCCATAGCAATGGGGCTGACCCAGAATTGCCCTCTGAAATGGCCTCACAAGTTCAGGGGTGATTAGAGATGGGCAGCAGGTACTGGTCTTGCTTATGATGCCTCACCCCATGAGTAAAAGCCACAGGACAAACAGTTGATTATTTAGGACTTAGATAACAAAAAGAAATGGATTCCCTCAGATCGCGGTGAATCTCTGGAATTCTCTATCGCAGAGGGCTGTAGATTCTCAGTCATTGAGGATGTTTACATCTGAGATCTAGAGACGTTTAGCTTCTCAGGAAATCGAGGGTCACAGGGCAGGAAAGTGGAATTGAAGATCAGCCATCACCATATATTGATTGATTTTGATTTAATGTCATGTGTACCGAAGTACAGTGAAAAGCTTTGTATATGAGCGGTACAGGCAGATCACAGCAAGCAAAGGATGGACAGATCAAAAAGACTAAGAGGCATACAGGTTACATTGCAGGTTACATTATTTGAGGCTGGAGTCCATTCAACAGTCTGATAATGGCTGGAAAGAAGCTGTTCCTCAACTTGCTTGTACCTGTGTTCAGGCTTCCCACCAGCATCCACATCCAGAAGATCATCAGGCACCATTTCTGCCACCTCCAGCGAGATGCCACCACCAGACACATATTCCCCTCCCCTCCCTTGTCCGCCTTCTGCAGGGACCGTTCCCTCCGGGACACCCTGGTCCACACTTCCTTTACCCCCAGTAATACCCCTACAACCCCACGGCACCTTTCCCTGTAACCAGCAAAGGTGCAACACCTGCCCATTTACCTCCTCCCTCCCCAGTATCTAAGGGCCCAAACATACCTTCCAGGTGAAGCAACACTTCACCTGCACTTCCCAGAATCTGTTCTACTGCATTCGCTGCTCACAATGTGGTCTCCTCTACATTGGGGAAAGAAAGTGTAGACTTGGTGACTGCTTCGCAGAACATCAATGTTCTGCTCGCAAAAAAGACCCTGAACTACCTTTTGCCTGCCACTTTAACGCACCACCCTTTCCCTGGCCAACATCTGTCTCTGGCTTGCTGCAGTGTTCCAGCGAAGCCCAATGCAAGCTGGAGGAACAACACCACATTTTCTGAAGAGGGGTCTAGGCCCGAAACGTCAGCCTTCCTGCTCCTCTGATGCTGCTTGGCCTGCTGTGTTCATCCAACTCTACACCTTGTTATGTCAGATTCTCCAGCATCTGCAGTTCCTGCTATCTCTCACCACATTTTCCACTTGGGGACCCTACAGCCCTCCGGACTCAATATCGAGTTCAATAATTTTAGGGCCTAAACTCTCCCAGGTCCCAGCCCCCTACCCCACACACCAGGCCTTGTACCACATAGCCTGCCATTCCACACCCCCTGTTGTTAGTCACTAACAGACCCCATTAACAACTACTCACCCTCCCAGCCTGATTGTTAGCAACTCCTTTGTCTGTCCAACTGTCTTTCTCTATCCTATCATTTACTCCCTACCCCATTCCCCTTCCTATTTTCTGCATATAAACTGATGTTTTCCCAGCCACTATCAGTTCTGAGGAAGGATCACCGGACCTGAAACTCTGTTTTTTCCTTCAGAAAAAGCTTTTCCAGCAGCTTCTGTTTTTGTTCTGTATCTTCTGCCTGACTGAAGAGGTTGTAGGAGGTCATCACCAGGGTGGGATGCCTGGGGAGACCAAATGGTCTACTCCTGCTCTTATTTTTAGTGTTTTAACATTGATTACGTTACCCTACAAAAATCAATGCCCCCAGTAGATCCACATCAGTCTTTTGGAAAAGCAAGTTCCAGATTCCAGAGGTGCTTTGTTCTTCTTTTGAACCACCCAAATTGCTGGGCAAAGCCCCCTTCTGGATTTCTTCACAAGTAACAGCCATTTCCAACAAGACAACATTTAATCAGCTTCCCCTTGACATCCAATGGCATTACCTTCTCTGAATCCCACATCCTGAATCGACATCCTGGGTGTAACCACTGACCAGAAATTGAGTCGGATTGATCATACAAAACCCTGCAGCTACAACAACACATCAGAAGGCTGGTGTAGAGATTGGAATGAGGTTGGTCAGGTAGATCTCATTGAGAATGAGTTCCCTGATTGGCCCAGGTTAACAGCCCCAATCAGCGAATCCTGGCTGACAGACAGAAATAGGAGTCTCAGGGATCCTCCTCACTCTAGGGACTGGCTCTGATCTAGCTCGTCTGTGTACTGTGCCTGTGTAAATAATGGGTGACCTGGTGACTGATGCTGGCCTCCATGGAGTTATTTCAGCTAGGAATCCCGCAGTGAGGATCTCACCTCCTGAACAATCGATCCTATGCGAAAAAGGGTGTTGATTGATTGGCAAGTCGATCCCTATTGGTTGAGGCATTGCCATGGTGATAGCCCCAAAGGCTTTTTCTCTCAAAGGCTCCATGTTACTGGCTGCCTGTAATTCTAATTCTCCATCTTGCTCCTCCCACTGACCTCTTGTCCCCAGCCTGTTGTGCAGTTCCAATAAAGCTCAACAACAGCATCTCATCCTTCCACCAGGTTTACAGTCTTCCAAACTCAATGCTGAGATCAACGATTTCAAACTTAGACCCCAATACATTTGTTTTCAAGTATCACTGGGTACAGCACAAAGGGAAAGTGAGAGAGAAAACAGAATTGGCATAGGAAAGGAAACAAAATGGAAGAAGGGGTGGCTGCATCTTCAGTAACCCAAACCCCCAGACCTTCCCTGAAGCTGTCCACCTCTCGTCCCTCCTTTAAGGTGACCTGTAATACTGATCAAGATTTTGGTCACTTCTGCTTCTAAAACCTTATTGAATGGCCCGGTGTCAAATTTTGTCGGATTCCTGTGGGATGCACTGGGCCGTTTATGCCGCTGCAAAGTTGCTACCTAAAAGCAAAGTATTTGTTGTTGAAGTTAGGAGGTTGTGGGACTTTGGAATTCAAAGGCACAGTCAGATCCCATGAAAGTGCTGTCCTTTCCTCTCGGGGATTTCACCAACCCATTGGTAGGGTTTGAGCATCTCTGACAAGACCACCGTCTGTTGTTCATCCCCAACTGCCCTCGAGACGGTAGTGGTTGTGAATCACCTTCTTGAAGAGCCTTAGGGGTCACCCACAGTCCTGTTAGGAAGGGAGTTGCTGGATTTTGAGTCCGCGACAGTGGGGGAATAGCCATTATCATTCCATATCAGGACAGTGTCTGGTTCGGAGGGAAACAGGGAGACATTGGTGTTCCCACACATCAGTTACCCCTTGTCCTTCTGGATGGCGGAGGTCGCGGGTCTGAAAGGTGCCATCCAAAGGGTCTTGGTGAGTTCC